TGGGGGAGCCAGCAGCACGAACCCCGGCACTCTGCGGGGGGCTGGCAGCCCGAGCCTGAGGGAGAGCGGGGCCGGGCAGTTTGAGCTGACAGCCCAAGCCCTGCCCCCGTCAGCGGGGGAGCCAGCAGCCCAAACCCCAGCATTACCCATGCAGGGCTGGCAGCCCGAGCCCCAAGGAGAGCAGGGCCGGGCAGTTGGGGCTGGCAGTCCGAGCCCTGCCCCCGTCAGTGAGGGAGCCGGCAGCCCAAACCCCAGCGCTCCGCCCGGGGCTGGCAGCCCGAGCCCCAGGAAGAGCGGGGCCAGGCAGTTGGGGCATCCATCACACTGAGGAAATTTAAACTTAAATCCCTGAAAATATTCATTTTTAGGAGGGGGTTCATGAGATTTCACAGTTTAGTGAAAGGCATTCGCGGGCTGTTAAAGTTTGGGAACCACTGCACTAGGGCAAGTCATGCATCTCGGGGCCCAAAGTGGTGCTGTTCCCTAAAGTATGGCCAGCAGGGCTCTGCCTAGTCTAGCTCTGAACAGTTTTAGTAATGGGCTCCACATGCAACAAAAGACTATTCCAGAGACTCATAGATTCCAGTGTGAGGCTGTTTTTCCAACTATTCATCTGGATTTCTCTCTCTCTGTTCATTTTCACTCTCTTGTCCCTGCCATGGGCACTCAACAAGAACCATACTCTGCAGGGAGAAAAACTGGGTTGACCCCAGCAACTCACAAAAATCTGACATGAGCATGTGTCAGGCCTCAACACAAATATGGTTTTCTGAGCAGCAACCAGGACACAGTGAGTACGGGAGGAGGAGCCCCCCAAATGAATCCATCCCATGTTGGAAAGGTGGGTTCTGGGTCTCCCTGCAGGAGATGCTAAAAAGCCAGGACACTCACCACTTGTACGATCTCTGCCTTCCGCTCGTTCTCCAGGCGTCGTTTCAAGTTCTCTTCCCGGCGCTGCTTTTTCTCCTGCAGAAACAGTAGAGTGAAGCTTTGATTTTATATCCTGCCATTCAGGGAAACTGCATTCTAGAGTCATGCTCAGGAAAGGGAGCAGAGGGGGAAGAGGCAGAAAAGGTGAGAGAGGTCCACAGCAAAGATCGTAAGAGAGATGGAATCAGCGAGGCAAGAGAGTACAGGGAGGGCAAGAGCTGCAGAGGAGAAGGCTCTTGCACCAGGCCCATTGATGTTCTCTCTAGGTACTTTAATAATTAGTTGTGTGTCTGTGCGTAGAGATCCTTCCAGGAGGACAGGGGAATCAACACAATGAGTGGGTGAGAGCTCCATAATCTAGGGACCTCTGCTATGGAAGTTCTGCCTCCCTTCATAAGCCTCTCCCACTTGGGTCATTTAGTTTTGGGTTATGCAAGGTTCTGGGAGCAGTGATCCTGGGAAGGAGGAAGCCACATCAATGGGGATAGTGCTTGGGGTGTGCTATAGACCGCCAGGATCTAGCCTGGATATGGACAGAGAACTCTTTAACGTTTTTAGGGAAGTAAATACTAATAGGAACTGTGTAATCATGGGAGACTTTAACTTCCCGGATATAGACTGGGGAACAAATGCTAGTAACAATAATAGGGCTCAGGTTTTCCTAGACGTGATAGCTGATGAATTCCTTCATCAAGTAGCTGCTGAACCGACGAGGGGGGATGCCATTTTAGATTTGGTTTTGGTGAGTAGTGAGGACCTCGTTGAGGAAATGGTTGTAGGGGACAACTTTGGCTCGAGTGCTCATGAGCTAATTCGGTTTAAACTAAATGGAAAGATTAACAGAATTAAATCTGAGACTAAGGTTTACGATTTCAAAAGGGCTAACTTTAATAAATTAAGGGGACTAGTTAGGGAAGTGGATTGGACTAACATATTTAGGGATCTAAAGGTGGAAGGCGCCTGGGATTATTTCAAGTTGAAGTTGCAGGAGCTGTCGGAGGCCTGTATCTCAAGAAAGGGAAAACGGTTCGTAGGCAGGAGATTTAGACCAAGCTGGATGAGCAAGCGTCTCAGAGGGGTCATTAAGAAAAAACAGAAAGCGTACAGGGAGTGGAAGATGGGAGGGATCAGCAAAGAAACCTACCTTATTGAGGTCAGAGCATGTAGAGATGGAGTGAGAAAAGCCAAAAGCTGTGTAGAGTTGGACCTTGCAAGGGGAATTAAAACCAATAGTAAGAGCTTTTATAGCCATATAAATAAGAAGAAAACAAAGAAAGAAGAAGTGGGACCGCTTAAGACTGTAGATGGAGTGGAGATTAAGGATAATCTAGGCATGGCACAATATCTAAATGAATATTTTGCATCAGTATTTAATGAGGCTAATGAAGGGCTGAGGAATAGTGGAAGCGAGACGGATAGGAATAAAGGAGTGGGGGTTGACATTACCGTATCCGAGGTAGAAGCCAAACTCGAACAGCTTAACGGGACTAAATCGGGCGGACCGGATGATCTTCAGCCAAGAATATTAAAAGAACTGGCGCAAGAAATTGCAAGCCCATTAGTGATAATTTTTAATGAATCTGTGAACTCGGGGGTGGTACCATTTGACTGGAGAATAGCTAATGTGGTTCCTATTTTCAAGAAGGGGAAAAAAAGTGACCCGGGTAACTACAGGCCTGTTAGTTTAACATCTGTAATATGCAAGGTCTTGGAAAAAATGTTGAAGGAGAAAGTGGTTAAGGACCTTGAGGTCAATGCAAATTGGGACAAATTACAACACGGTTTTACGAAAGGTAGATCG